CCAAAACCTATACACCCCATATCTTCAACTCTTTACCATAATACACAACAGAAAACTAGCTGTGACCTGTAGTACAACAGCAGATACATCTCAAAATGATTTAAATATAGAGCTCACTGAAAATACTTCAGGCCATAGATCCTTTTACAGTCTGAAGGTTGATTCTGTTATTACTAAGACACTCCTCAAAAGGTATTCAAAAATGGTGTAAATTCATAAGGCATTCTCTCTCTAGAATTTAAATGTATGGCACACACATAATAGATCAAAGTATTCAACAAGCTATGAGAGTGATCCCTTACAACTCCTTCTTTCTTAGTCTCACTAGCCAGGTACAATTCACTACTAAGGAAGATACTGTACTGTATATGTCTAAAGGTTTGGACAGAAGAGGTTGCGTGACACTCATTTTCATGTTTCTATGAAGTATTGAGAAACTTAAACCAACAGAATACTTGATGCTCCTTCAAGGTGGTGCATTGAAGAGTGAGAATATGATAAAATTGCTCTACATAAAACCCTGCAGATGTGTACTGTACAGCATGCTGCTCACTAAGTTTTTGAAGTTGATTCCTTGGGATCATTAAAAAATGAGACCTTCACACTACTTGAATTCAAACAAGCAAGATGTCTCCTATCCTCTTCCATATTTAGTCCTTTAAAAGGCCAAATACTTTTCTCTTAAAATACAAAAGGAGTAACCATGCTTCCATCAAGGAAAGGAACATGAACAGGAGAAGCAGCAATTATGTCCTTTGTCTATTCAAACTAGAAAAGAATGAGTGGGGTTGCGTATTGCACTATGTGAGTTTATAGAGGACAAGAGATTAACCCTTTACAGTATGGAGCCTAGACAGAGTGCCAATCAGGACTGAGTGTAGGGAGAAAGATATGTTGAAGACTGCTAGGCAGGATTATAGCCCTCCTTGGAATGAATGAGAAAGAGACACTTAATGGCTCATGAATCTTTGGACTTGACATCCATTAATGAGTCAGGGTGCAGCTGGATTTGAAAGCAGAGAAGTTGTGTTTCAGAGTCCCGGCTATTCACTGATCCCATTCACTGAGGAAAGACGCAAACCAACCTGAAGGTCAATATTCTGGATTGGAGGACAGCCTATGGCTGATAGAGAAGGTTGACAACAGGGAGTAAGGATGCAGAGTGGTCTCTCCTTGGCCTCCAAGGGAATGGTGGTTGGAGAACCTGAGAAACTCCTTGGCCACAAAGCAGTGTTACCATGCCCCATGAGGTGAAGCAGAACAGTATCTGAGATTTGCTGTTTGTGGGAGCACATTACAATTGGTTTGAGTAAAACCAAACATCTTAAAGAATTACTATCATAATTGTAGGGTGTGTTTTCCATTAATGTTGAAGATTAATAATTAAAATAATAATAATTGCTTACACTTATATAGCACTTTTCTGGACACTCCACTCAAAGCGCTTTACAGGGGACTCCCCTCCACCACCACCAATGTGCAGCCCCACCTGAATGATGCGACGGCAGCCATAGTGCGCCAGAACGCTCACCACACATCAGCTATCAGTGGGGAGGAGAGCAGAGTAATGAAGCCAATTCATAAATGGTGATTATTAGGAGGCCATGATTGGTAAGGGCCAATGGGAAATTTGGCCAGGATTCTGGGGTTACACCCCTACTCTTTTCGAGAAACACCCTGACCACAGAGAGTCAGGACCTCTGTTTTACGTCTCATCCGAAGGACGGTGCCTGTTTACAGTATAGTGTCCCCGTCGCTATACTGGGGCATTAGGACCCTCATTACAGTATATATACCATGGTCTTGTGCAGTATCCCTGTACTGGACTATGACTTCCATATGTATCCTTTTTAGACACTTTACTTTAGCAAACTGCACAACTCTGATGCAGAACCAGCAATGCAGAAATAAAAATAATTATTCCTGGTATTAATATAGCATTTATAGCATTAATATAGCATTCATCCCAAAAGGTCTTGATTAATTTTACATGAAGGGAACTTTACATAAAGGGACTCCACTTTATCCACCACTGAAGTGCAGCAACTATCTGGGTGACATGTGGCAGCCAGCATACACCTGTAACCTCACAACACAGGAAATAAGGCAGACAAAAATAGCTTCATTATTTAAATTGAAAAGTTTAACTACTGAAGTTTTCAGAAGTTTAGCATGTTCAGATTTCACAAAATCACAAAAGAGTTAGATTTAGCCAGGACACCCTATTCTACAGTGTCACTGTACAGTATCTTTAGTATCCAAATATCCAGTACCTGATGATAAAAACTACAATTGTGGAGCCCTCTGATAAACCCTGGTTATTTTTATGAATAAGAAAAATATCAAGTTTAGGATTTTAATCAATAAATGTGTTAAATCACAAAATAAATTATATTCATTTCCTTGGATCAAAGAGCCCCTAGACTACATCATATCTCTCTGTGATTCAGCTCACTAGACCTAAATAGAGGGTACTAGCAGGGAAGCTGACTTCTGAAGTCAGGTGACTTTTGAAGCAATTTAAAGTTATTCTGGTTGGTCTGTGAAATGTTCCTGCACTGTTTGAGTGCCTAATAGAAAGACTGTTTGCCAGTGGTAACAGCAGTGATTACTTTCCAGAAGATTTTAGGGAACCTGTGCAATATGTTTAGCTATATCAGGGTTGAAGAATTAAAATAAAATCCCAGAAAGGTACACCTTATCTGCTAGAAACTAAATTTGCTGGGCACATTTTGGAAATGTAAAGGATAGGTGGATTGACGTGTTGATGGTGTTGTCAATGGCTACAGTGTGAAGAAAGTTTCTGGGATTGTTTTCTTCCTAGAGACAGTTTGTGGGGATTTCTCTGAGACAGCTGCTCCACTACACAAATCCTGACAGAAGGACTCCAACTTTGACCCTAGTTAATCAAAGATCCACAATGCCAGCAGGCCTTTGACTAGCTGAAAGTGCTAATATAATATTTTTCAAATTCATGATTGCCTCAATACTGGATACTGATATCAGTGTCATGTGGACTGGGGTGGTGCTATCAAAGCCAGGTAAATAAGATGAGCAGGTGATTGCTTACTACATACAGCTTAGTAAACCATTACAGGAATTATTGTATTAAGCATAGTGAAATGCTTACTGTATTTGCAAGTGAGTCTGTTCTTTCATTGCACTAACTATAGCTGTTATTGGATTTCAAAGAACAAGAGAGTCAGAAGCTGAGTTGGATTGAGATGTGGCAAGAGCAGAATTGAACTAATGACAACAGAGCCAGAACAAAACATTTCAACACAGAAATGATATCCCAGAGGCCCTGTGATAAAGAGTAGTGCAGTCACTGTGGTAGCCATCTACACCACTATGGCCTTGGTAATGACCACAGACAGCAACAAATATCATCTGGCCACAATGAACTACTTTACTAAGTGGTCAGAGGTTCATGTGCTCCTAGATCAGATCCCCCCACAGTTGCACAAACATTGCTGCAGATAACAGTGGGGCTGTTAGGTTCTGGATTAACTCCATATTCACAAGGACCCAAGAACATCAGCCGGACCCAAGCTCTACCATATAAAACAGTTTCTTACCATCTCATATGTCACACAAACATTAGGATCTACATAAGCCATGTTGACAAGTGTGCACTGCATTAGACGCAGCATTCACAGGCCTTGAAGGACCTTGGTCAACCATCAGGGTGCAGTGAGACCAGATTAACAGGATGAGCTGCACAAACAACTGGAGGAAGTCCACCTTTTCATTTGGCAGCACCTCATAGCAGGAGGGGTAAAGTATAAAATCCACTAAAATCTACCAGCAGCCATATCAACCTGCAACTCACAACTGGCAGCCCACTGAAGCTAAGCAGGTGTGAGCCTGGTCAGTACCTGGATGGGAGACCTCCTGGGAAAAACTAAGGTTGCTGCTGGAAGAGGTGTTAGTGGGGCCAGCAGGGGGTGCTCACCCTGCGGTCCATGTGGGTCCTAATGCCCCAGTATAGTGACGGGGACACTATACTGTAAACAGGCTCCGTCCTTCGGATGAGACGTAAAACCGAGGTCCTGACTCTCTGTGGTCATTAAAAATCCCAGGGTGTTTCTGGAAAAGAGTAGGTCCTGGCCAAATTTCTCATTGGCCCTGACCAATCATGGCCTCCTAATAATCTATGAATTGGCTTCATTACTCTGCTCTCCTCCCCACTGAGAGCTGGTGTGTGGTGAGTGTTCTGGCGCACTATGGCTGCCGTCACAGCTGCCTGGTGGATGCTGCACATTGGTGGTGGTGGTGGAGCGCTTTGAGTTGAGTGTCCAGAAAAGTGCTATATAAGTGTAAGCTATTATTATTATTATTATTACTTGGATCCATGTGTCCCTAGAGAACAGGTCTGGGTGTACTCCCTGTCACAAGAAGAACCTATTGACATAAGTAATACCCTTCTGGGAAGGGCCTTTTATGCCCTACACAAAATTTCTGAAGTACTGTACAGGGTGCACTTAAAGAGAAGGGAAGGCTGTAAAGGCAAGTAAAGGCTGGCTCACATGAGGAGTCCCAGAAATTCAGTTCTCCCAGTAGTGAAGAGGAGCTACAGGGCCTGACCAGTGAGGAGGAAGGAGAAGACTGGATCTTGGAAGTCCAATGGGAACTACTTCAGCAGCCCCCTCCACCCCAGCACCTGACAGCACCTGGATGATTTCCAATAATCAAGGAATTTAACAGATCTGCGAGTAATAGAAAGTTATATAAGTAATTGCTATTTTGCTATAGATTTTAGATATTGTAGGAGGACATATTTATACTCCCAAATCTCCAACTTTAATGACTCCTGCTTTCAAATAAAATCAATAAGCAATTTTCCATTAATGGATTTTTCTATTACTTCCAGCTGGCTATCCAGAACTGTGTGTTTTAGGAACTATGGGTAATTTGTAAGAAACTTATCAGAGACCCTTGGGCTGACTTGGCAGTTCTCACATCAAGTGAGGAGGGCTGGGCTTTCAGACAGCTGCACCTCTCAATCCCTGCTGCTTTCAGACTCAACTTCCTCTCCAGCAGCGTTTAACTGAACTAGTTACATTGCTTCAGGTAATGTATGTCATCGCCATGAGCAACTTTGACATGCCTGACACTTCCAGAACCTCGAGGATCCGTGACAGATCTGAATAAGAACTTTTTACTGGCATGGGGAGTGAAAACACATCAAACTTGCCAGCTGTCAGGGCTGTAAATGGTGATTTTGTTTCACTTCCCTTTTTTATGAATCAAAGCCATATTGAAACCTATCCAAAACCAGCATGTTTGGCCTTGCAAGAGTAAAAGACAGCAATGTTATTTATTTTTTAGCTCGAGGTTGTACTTAGGGAGGTGTTGATAGTGCTCTACATGGCAGATTGTGCCTTAGAAACAACTGGGCCTGGCTGTGTACTTATCTTAAAGATAAATTAACATTGAAAACTCAACAATGTTCTGAAATTTGTACATGCACTCTGCATTAAATTGTTATATTACTGAAACAATGCAAGCATATACAGTGCTTGCATATTATCTGAAAATCATTATTGCTGGTGTGAAACATTTGATTGAAAATCCTTTATTGTATGTGCAAAACATAAATTAGACATTGTTGAGTGAATATTTGCTTTGTTTCAGATTTCTTGTGGTATACTAGTAATAGTATTTTACATTTGTTAAACAAGGCTCTTTGCATTTCTCTAATTTACTTGAATTAGTCAAAAATACTCAAATATGTGAAATATAATCAGAACATTTCAAACATAAAACTGCTTATAATTATTTTATTTTTATTATTTGAACAAACAACTGTTGTGTAAGATTTATATGATAGCTTTCGTCTTGTATTTGAAGCCCATGTTCACTATGTTGTGAATATGTTCTTTTTTCACTTTATAATATACTAATATCCATTCACAACTCCCAATATCATGCGTAAAAGTTTTTGTTTTTTCCACATTTGAAACACATCCAAACACCCCATAACAGGTTGCTGCATGTTCAAAAATCAGCTGCTTGGATCATAACTGGTACTGAAATATATGTACATATCTCTTCTGTTTTACCTTCATTGCACTGGCTCCTTGTAAATTTCTGAATAAATTTCAAAATACAGCTGCTCACCTTTAATGGCTTGAATGGTTTTTGCTCCTCACAAGACCATCAGTGGGTTGTTAAATTCCTATACACCTACATCTGTTAGAACTCTTTTTGTCATAGCCAGCAGCCATATCACCCTGCAGCTCACAACTGGCAACCCACTGAAGCTAAGCAGGTGTGAACCTGGTTAGTACCTGGATGGGAGACCTCCTGAGAAAAACTAAGGTTGCTGCTGGAAGAGGTGTTAGTGGGGCCAGCAGCGGGTGCTCACCCTGTGGTCTGTGTGGGTCCTAATGCCCCACTATAGTGACAGGGACACTATACTGTAAACAGGCGCTGTCCTTCGGATGAGATGTAAAACCGAGGTCCTGACTCTCTGTGGTCAGGGTGTTTCTCGAAAAGAGTAGGGGTGTAACCCTGGCGTCCTGGCCAAATTTCCCATTGGCCCTTACCAATAATGGCCTGCTAATAATCCCCATCTATGAATTGGCTTCATTTCTCTGCTCTCCTCCCCACTGATAGCTGGTGTGTGGTGAGTGTTCTGACACTATGGCTGCCGTCGCATCATCCAGGTGGATGCTCCACATTGGTGGTGGTAAAGCTGTAAAGCACTTTGAGTGCAGTGTCCAGAAAAGTGCTATATAAGTGTAAGCAATTATTATTATTATTACTCTTTTGAGTTTTCCAAACAAGAGCTCAGACATCATACTTTCTGTTCTCATGCACTGTGGATCTCCCAGCCCACATTAGATTTTGCAAGTCTAGATTGAACACTATCAGATCAAATCTTAGAACTAACTGCATGAGCACTAACACTAACGAGCTTTTTATAATAATAATTCTTTACACTTATATAGCACTTTCCGGGAAACTCCACTCAAAGCACTTATTGGATGATGAGGACTCGGTGCCACCACCACCAATATGCAGCATTCACCTGGCTTTTTGCAAAGCCTTTGTTTTCTGGCAGGATTTCGCCATACCATCCTTTGAAGTTCCTGAGTCAGCCAAGACAGGTTTGAATTTCAAATTAGAGATCTTGTTGGTTCCTCATGACTGCTACCTACTGTATACGAATGTTTGTTTCAACAAACTTAAAATACAATTGTTTTCTTTATTATGTTTAAGATAAAATACAAATGGCTGATATTGATATTGACTGAAATTCCTTCTTCTTTGATACCTGGAATTAATACCTTTTCAACATCCATGCTTTTAAAATCTTATTTTTTATCTCTGAATTTCTCCCTGAGATTTTTTAACATCAGCAACAAATATTGTTTGTTTTCTTTTACCATAATTAATGCTGTTTGCAATATAATGCAATCAGCATTGGCATTTTACTTTCCAGCATTAATTTGCTGCTTTTTGCAAATTAACATATCTCTGGGTAACAAAGGGTGTCATATAATACAGGAATGAAAGTAAGGTCCAGTATCCTTTAGCACATTTTGTCATTTAGCCATGAAATCTTGATGAAGAGATGATCACCTTATTCAATGATTCCAAGTATTTAGTGTCACGCACGACATTAACACTTTTGCTGTCATTCATGGAGAGAGAAGTTAAAAAAAATAGATACAGAATATTTTGGTAACAAATTAGAAGATTAACATTTGTGAGCATATCATTTTGCTTTCTTACTGAAAACATGTAACAACAAAATTATATGGGCACCTAACTTGAGCAAATATGCATTTCTAAAAATGCTGGGGATCACGAGGGTGTGCAACAAATGTAGTAGTGTCTCTTCTTTAAAAAATGTGATGAAACATAGTTTTTCTTTGTACTACATAGAAAAATATATGATCTTTCAAAACAATTTGATTAAATACTCCTTAAAGAAATTCTAGCTAAGATTCATAGTTTTATCAATAAACACAAGATTTTTTTTAAACCAAGCACCTAAAAATGTACTTCTTAGGGCGCAAAAAATTGCTCTGCACACAGGTCCTTAGGGGTTTCTTCTCAAAACATTATTGTAATGCATAGGCCCAAACAAAATCCTATCATGCATTCTTCCACAAAATAATTAAATAAATCTTACTTAATGCAAAACCTACAGTTATCTGTCTACCTCCTGTCTATTAAGACTAAAGTTATTCAAGTTGTGTCATGAGTTATTCTATTATGTTAAGACATAAAAAAGGCCTTTTGGACATCTTAGTAACTGGGTATTTTATTTCTTCCTTCAGGGTGAAAGTTCTTCAATGAAAGTTCTATTATCTTGAGATGGGATTTGGGACCAGATGGTACAAAAGTCTACTTTTAAATTTTTCTGCATGTACAGTATGGTGTTCAATTGATTGTACAACATTCATCTGTGTTTTATGTTTTTGTTTCTTATATATGTTTGTTCTAATAATAAAGAACAAACATAATAAATAATAAAGTAATAATAAAGGTAATAAAGTAATAATAAAGTAGTAATACTTTAAGGAACGTTTTTGTTATTTATTTGTAGAGGGAACTTAATATGTAAGTGAACTTTACACATTATACCTCAAATAAACAGTTTTCAGCTGCAGTGATGATGCCTATAATAATAGTCCAGTAAATTCTAACAACATCAATGACTTTACATTTCTTATATTGAAACAAATAAAATGGAGTTCTTTAACTTATTAAAAAAATAAAACAGCACTCCTATATTGTAGGCTTTTTGTAAATTGATAAATGAGTGGAACATCCTGTCATCTTCCCAAAAGTTGTTTTAACTTTTGGTGAGCCAGAATGCCTTGTGCCGATAAATAGTTAGGTCTATAATTCATCAACACTCACTCCATTTTACATCTTGGCCGTATTCCTGCTGCAGCAATGTTTGTGTACAGTTCTTAAGAAATTCTAGACACTGAAGGTTTGGGAGTGTTTCTGTTTTATTGTATCATGTGCTTGTATAAGGCCTTTGTATTTTTCAGAGGCACTGGCCTCAAGGATCAAGTTTCTACAAAAACAACCAAAGGTTGCACAGAAAAAAAATAAAAAGACCTTTGGGGATTTGTTTTTTGGCAATAATCTGTAGGTGTGTTCAGGTTTTACAAACATTTGTTTTAAAAATTAGCATGCGTGCAGTCACATAAGAGAGTAAAGGAGAGCCTTATTTCTTTTAATCAAAGCTAGGATCTCAGCCTGACTGATTCAGCCTAAAACTATTTGTTTCCATGAAGTAAATGTCAAATAAATTCTAGAACATACAATACTGTAAGATATTGAATTATTTTATTCAATGCAAATATTCCTATGAATTGCAAAAATGACTCTCTACAATATTTACGATTTATTTTTGTGACAGTTAAATATTAGTACTTATAAACTGGTTTTGCAGCTTTTTGAATAAAGAGTTTACAGTTATTTAACCAAAGTAGTGAGTTGTTATTGGAGTTTTTTGCTGTTCATGGATTGTTTATGTTTGAACAGGTTGATCTTAAACATACCTGGTACCAGAACACCTTGGGCTGAAGGTTATGAGCACTAAGGCAGCAGGGATGAATGTGATTTGCCTGGAGAAGCTATTGCTGGAAAATGTTGGGATGTCATGATTAATGAGCCTCCAGTATTGTGTGGGAGGGGAATACAGTACATCTGAATTGATGGTGCCAACCTTCAAGAAAAGGAATGGGTCCTAAGGGCTTGCACTAATCAGACTCCCTGGCGAAGCCTATTCCAGTATGCAAGTGAGGAGTTTCCATCTTTTAGTTGAACATCAGTTTCAGGATGAACAAAACAGATTCTGTCCTAGCTATAGAACAACTGATTAGGTATTTGATTTCTCAGATATAAAAGGGCTGTGGGAGTCTGCCATGCCATCAATGTTTTAAAGATCCGAAGAAGACACATGGCCACATTTCTACATGTCTTCCGGGTGTTGCTGCATGAGTATTAAGTGGTGGTACCACTTCTATTCCTGGAACTACATTTTTGGCATTAAGTTGCGCATTAGGTCATGCTTTTGCAATAAGGGCATTGTACTCCACTGAAGGTATATGGTGTCTCCACCCCTGCTCATGATTTATGGGAAAGGAAATTCAAGGCGCAGCAGAGGTAGATTTAATAATAATAATAATAATAATAATAATAATAATAATAATAATAATAATAATAATGTTGTTCAGATACAGTATAATTGATTTATGACTATTTAATTATATTAAGGATAAAAAATAATAAAATAAAGACCATCACATTATACCCAACACGTTCTAATTAAAATATCACATCAAAAGAAATAAAAATATAAAAATGTGATAATTTTGTTTGCATCCATTTTGTTCAACATTTCATTAGTCTGATGGCTCATTATCCTGATAATTCCAGTGCAATGGTACAACAGTCCATTGGTCCAGTAAATATAGCCTACTGGCCTGACATAATCCTGCCTCAAACCCTCAATCCAATCCCTGCCAGTGGTATGTCAGAAAAATGTATGACTGATGGGCAGTGAGTTTGATTAATGTGCAGTCAGATAAAATGGGAAGACCCTACATTTTGAATCCAATACTCTAACAATCTATCTGAAAGCTGCAGGAGTACACCCATTTTATTTGGCTCATTCATTACAACAATAAAGAGTTCAATATAAGACAAAATATAGACAGGAGCAATTCAGTGCCTACATTCAAAGACAGAAGATATACGTTTTGTGATTCACAGAAAAATGTAACAGTAATTGGCTAAAGTGAGAAAAACACAACTTTCAAATAAGATACAGTATATGTATGTTATTGTTTTGATTTTCAAATAGAGCCACAACAATTTCACATCCTGGTTGTTTGATAATGTGCCCTGATTGCCAGACTAGATGTGGTTGCCATGTTTTTATAACATACCCAACAGGTGTTCTTTGTTATAGTTAAATGTCACATAGTTTACAGTTTTGTACCAGCATCATTATTTTTTTGAAGTTTTACATTACAGTAACATTGTAAAATATAACATTTTCATTTTCTAACCTTTATGGTATAAATAATAATCCATCATTCTGAATTGTTTAACTGTACATTTTATATACTAACTTAAAAAGAATTGAAAACAATGACATAACCCATTCATAAATTAAATTCAACTGAACAATTTCTAATTTCACCAAAGTCCTGTTTGAAGGAATACACAATTATGCACTGAAAGCTATTTTTATTATCTAGTGCAGGTTGAATAAGTTTGAATTTACAGAGGAAGGTGAAACTGCAAAGTAACACCATTATGTTTTTGGGCCCTGATTAAATTACATCCGACCACCTGCTAATCACAAATTACTATTCCATCAGATATAATCAGAGATACACAAAAGACTGTCATTCAGTATTGGCCTTGTAGTTTTTCCATTAGATAATAGGTCACAATATTAATTAAATATAGGCTCAGTCCTACCTACTGTATGCAGGCATAAAATGCTTGAGATGACAAATTCGATCAGATGACTGATTCATATTTCTTCTTGAAGTAGACTTCCTTGTTTTTTATCTGCAATAAAAGAATACTTTGAGTGTTGTTTATGGTACAGTATATTAAAGTATCATGCACAGTTCTGGTCTTAATGGGAACTCTCTCATCTCCAAGACCCAAACAACCCTTTCAGACAGAAAGTTTGACCAAACCAAATGGCCAGGCCTGCTACCACAGGGTAATTTAATATAATCCATTACTACTATTTTTCTAAGAGAAATTTTCACCTGTAAGATATGGTAGAAAGGTACTTAAGGTAAAATTGAAATAACAAATAAAAAGTGATTTAAATCGAGGTTAAATGCTCTCAAATTCACTCCCCACAGTAAGAGCTCTGAGAAAGCAACAGTATAACATGAAATTCCTTTCTCAAAAAAACACCATTTAGTTAGTATGATTTAAAATTCTGTATCAATTACTTTTGCACACTAAGCAATGCTTAAAATGACAAGTAAACCAGAGGCAGAATCATGAATGATCCTCACAAGACATCAGCACTTATTTCTTTGTCTGACATATCCTGACCCTAGTCCAAGTATAACAACCACATGACACAAAAGTACGTCAAGCCTTTCATCTTTTGGTACAGTGTATAGTGGTGAACCAAACAGTTTCAGGAGTTCTTAGGGAGTTTGTTAGCTAAGATTGGCAATGCCCCCTTAAGCTCCTGACACAGTGGTTGGGCCCAGTGCAAACTGTTTAACACACAACAGGTGTTTGAGCAAAGATGGCAAACTGATGAAGGTCACCCTATTCCTACTCCAACAACCAACTCCCTCAAGGACACCCCTATTCATAGACCTCCTAAGGGAGGTGGTGAAAGATGATGTGGGGGGAGGAGACAAAAACCATGACTCCTGTCACTTGAGACCAAGCATTTATTTCCTTGAAGAAGCACCCCTTTGCCATCTTGTACTTGTCAACACCTGTATAAATTCTATTCAGCCCCAGAAGTTTTGTGTTCCCACATGAAAAGTACATTTGTAACTTTCCACATGATCCCATATGGACACACAATCTTTTCTCTCTACACATTTACAAATCTGTCTAAAGTTCATAACAGGAGAGTGTGAGTAGCACTATCCTTTATATCGGACATGGACATTCAAATATCTCCTGCTGTGCAGCTGGATAATTTGCTTTAAGACATGCAGTTTATCTTCCTAAAACAAAATTTAAGTTCCAGGAACAGATGAGCAACACACTAGCAGAAAATAAGTAGTGAGTTTTCCTCCTAAAACTGTAACACCTCCTAAAATGCTACATGAATCATTATTATTTAGTATCTTAAAACGTGAGTGGGGCAGAGGAGTAATAGTTCCGCTCAGACAATTGGTTTTTAGAATAACTGAAAACCTAGAAGCAATTCAGCTAAAACAGTACACAAAAAACTTTATGCCTTAATATTCTAACTCTTCATGGAATGCAATGTCTCAGTTTCAGAGTATTAGTGATGATCATGGTAAAGCAATGTTTAAATCAAACTCACATGGGTTAATAAAACATAACTTCTTCATTCTTTTATGTGTCCTGAAATGAAACTGGGTGTGACTGAATAAACATTTTGTCATGTATTTTTATAGCTAGATCTATAAATATGTCTTGCCTTTCATTAACATCTGTAGTATCCTTTAGAATGTACTATTTGGACATGCATTTACCTGTGTTTTTAAATTAATTAAATGTTTTTGCACAACACATGATATATATATGAATGTATCCACTCACATAAACTTTAGATATAAAATGTATATGGAATTGTAACACAGACATCAATGGTTGCATTGAAAAAAATGGAGAAGGTTGTATAATCCTCACTGCCAAAAAGCTTCAAAAA